CAAAACCGTTAACTGCCCAGTCTTCCATATTATGGTCTAGTTCCAGAATTTTCCCATTTCTCACTACTGCCATGGTTCCACACCCAAAGTATTAGAATGTCTTCCATCTGGTCTCCCTCTTACTATGCCTTGTCTCTTCTACAGTCTATTCTCAGTTCAGGATCCCAAAGTGATGCTTTTCAGTGTAAGTCAGTTCCTGTACTTTCTGTTTGAAACCCTCTCCTGGTTTCTTCTGGTCTCACTGCAATAAATGTCAAAGGTCATGTTACGTTTCATCTCTCCCCAAATTATGTCTCACCTTATCTACTTCTCTTCCTCTTGTTCATTCCCTTCATGTCACATGGTCCTCTGAGATGTTCTGCCTCTGAGCTTTTGCACCTGATGTTTCCTCTGTCTTGAACATTTTTGCAAAAGGTATTGGTAAGAGTTGCTACTTCATCATGTTTAGGATTTTACAAATATCACCTTCTTTTTTGGGGTCTCTTCCCGCCCTCCGTTATTTAAAACAGCAATCAACACACTTGCTTTGTAGTTTTCTATAGTACTTTTAACCACCAGACTTGGTATATCTTGCACTTGGTTGTTTATTGTCTTTCTTCCCTCCTAGAATATAAACTCTATAAACTCTGATTTCTATCTCAACATATGTTGTTCCCTTTTTTTCTCATGATAAAGCCACTTTTCCCCTTTTTCTAGAAACTGGAACACTGACCTTCATGTAGTAGGTACTTTGTAAACATTTGAATATATACATGTATGAAAAACTTGAATGGCATCTAAATGTAACTTGTACAACTTTTGGGGAGGTATGAAATAAAATAGTGATTCATAGCGTTCGGTATTTTTCTTTTAACCGAAGAATTCAATTGTATAAAAAGTAAATGACGCTTATTATAATATTAGATATTATTATAACTGGCGAGGCAACATGAGAAATTAAATAAAGCTACTGAAGCCAAAGTTTACCTTTTCATTGTTAGCTTAGATGTATTTTTCCAAACTAGTTTTGTTTTCTTCTACTTTAGTGGTTTGGAATTCTTCCCTGTATTTTTATGTCTCAAAAAATGGATTATCCCTGTTAGTTATCTGTGGACGAGTAGAATCTGTCACATTTACATTGACAAGTGATCTTTTGAATGCCAGCACAAATAAAGTGGAGAAAAGTTAGTTAAAATTAGATTTTTAAGTAACACCCAGGCTCTAAATAAGTGGTTTGGAACTGTAGGGTGCAAAAGAACCCCCTGGAGCTGCCTGGCATATACAGCTTCCTTGGCTCCACTCCAGGCTTGCTCTGCTAGAATCTCTGAAGTTCAACCCTGGGAAAGTGTGTTTTAACAATGCCCCCAGGGATTCTGGTGCAGGTGCTCTGAGGACCTTGCTTTGTGATGTACTACTCTGATCTTTCAAAAGATGTTCAGTATCTTTCCTAGAAATCAAGCAAAGGCTCATGGTAAGGAGAAAAATATCATAAATTTCATTCCTGTAGAGACTATCCACTCCACACCATTGTCTTGCTACCGGTTGTGGCTTGGCTACAAACTGTCCACCATCCCCAGGGTGCCATCTTGCATTTGTACTGTGGCTTGTGGGGTGGGGGGAATGAGTGATTTCAACTAAGCTCTGCTTGATGAATATTAATCTATCACGGTGAAGAAGACAATTCTAAGGGACTATCAGGTAGCCAAAGGTAATTAGAATCACCTCTGGGCCACATTTGCCATCTTGTCATCACTTGCTCCACAAATGGCTACATTTTTTTTTTGTCTGAGGGTTTCTGTTTCCTTGCTCCTTTTTGTATCCTATGAGAATCAGGTGATTAAAGAGGTCAGAATAGGGCACTCTGTTACCATGGAGACCTGAAGCTACTTAGCTCTTGTGCTGGTTGTTTTTCCCCACTCTCCAACCAGCTGTTATTCTGTCAGAGGAAAGGATTTTTACCAAGTGGAAACATGAGCCTTTTAAAATCTTTCTCGTTTGTGTGAGAGAGGTAAGCCCCTACACAGTTTTCATCATTATGAAGCAGTGCCAAGAAAACGTTGGGATTTGGGTGCTGAAATTGCCTGTCACCATGATGCTTGGTTTCTGAACTTGTAGTTATTTTGCTTCCCTTACTTAGCATCTTATAACCATGAGGGGGAAGGCATGGAGTGCTTTTGATGCACTTACCTCCTGCTATGAGAGAAGGAAATTGATATGTGGTAATTATAAAATATTTGATAAAGTTCTACTGACCCCTTGGGACACTAACTATGTCTAGGCTCTCTACTAAGTGCTTTACAACCATTATCTCACTTAACTCAACATCCAACTATGAAGTAGATCCTATTATGGTCCCTTTTGTAGAAGAAGAAACTAAAAGATATTGTGTTTAAGTAACTTGTGCACTTAAATTTACCAGTGATAAAAGCAAGAGCAGAACCCGGCAAGTTAGCCTCAGTGCCCAGACTAGGACTGCGATTGCTGCTCCAGAGACGCTATTGCCACATCAATTGTGTGCGCCATGACAGTAATGCTCTCTCGCCATAATCAAGGTCATGTTCATGTCAGATGTGGGTGTGAACAAACTCTAGCTTCAGTTTCTTCTAGTTACTGGTGTTATCACTGATTTTGAAGTTGCTTACCTAAACAATAAAGTATTAGACCCCCCACTGGCTTTGCTGTAGATAACATCTCTGATGTATGGTCACAGTGGATATTGTTATTTAAATTGTTTTTCAGGAATTTGGAGGTAGTCTTGTCTAGCTCAAATGGTTGAAACTACTGACCCTTTCAGTTGAGCCTGTGTGGGTGACTGATGGGTTGACCTTTTAATATCAGAAGACCAAATACCCGCAGGTCATGCTAAGGTTGCAATTTTCTGAACATGCATCCTATGAGGAGCCATTACATATGATTATGTTTGTGAAGACCACCAATTGCTTCATTATTCTTTACTTTCAATTTCTTTTTTTTCCCCATGCCTTAAAATACCTTGTTTTTTTGGGGGGTGGGTGGGTACCAAGGATTGAACTCAGGGGCATCCAACCACTGACCCACATCCCCAGCCCTATTTTGTATTTTATTTAGAGACAGGGTCTCATGGAGTTGTTTAGCACCTCACTTTTGCTGAGGCTGGCTTTATACTCGTGATCCTCCTGCCTCAGCCTCCCAAGCCATTGGGATTACCCAAAAACTCTATCCCAAGGAAACAGATTTGAGACTTGCTCTCCTGACTCCACATGCTTGGCCACTTCATGAATACATTTTATTTTTTGCGAAACTCATCACTTTGGTGATTGGCATATTGTGCAGTGGGCAAAAAGTACCTGATTCAGTAACATGGGGAATTCCTCATGCAGTGCACAAAAGCAGTGAGAAGTGTGAGTGAGGTAAGGCCAGGCATAACACTTAGCCAAATGGGGTGGGGTGAGAGTCGTGTATGGATGTTCTGGCCTCTCATTGTCTGTTGGATAATTCTAGAAGGCATTCCATAGACTTCTCCGAGTGCTTGGCAGAATGCAGGATCCATTCTAGAAGAATCTATGAGTGACCTTGATAGCAAACCTTATGGTGATTTTTCTTTTTTCCTGCCTAGCCTCTATGCTTGCTTACTCCTGCTGTCTAGGATCTACTGCCCCAGATCTAGGATCAGCACTTGTATATAGTCTTCATTTCTGTACGTAATTTTTTTCTCTGTACATAATCACAGTCTTTGTCTCTAAACATAATCTGCTTTCCAGGGGGATACAAACTGAGAACCAGAGTGATTTATCAAAATACAAAATTTATGATGCTTATGTGGTACTGAGAGTACAACCCCAAGGTTGTGGCCAACTCCGTATGGTCAAAGCACTTTCGTGTAGGTGTGTGAATCCTGTCTCTGTCACTTATATATCTCACAACACTGCAACTCAAATACTCGGAGTCTCAATAACTCAAATGGAAAAATTGGAAAAATGATGTTACTTGATATGATTGTGGCAAGCTTGCTCAGAACTCTGACAGAAGAGTCCTGTTGGAGCTACGATCCTTGCCCCACCTTTGGACTTGCCCTCTGACCAGATGTGGAGGAATGTTAGGTAGGGAACATGGAGAAGGGTGACAGTCATGAAGATAGGTGTATGGTAACAGAGAATTCAAAGCCTGTACTTGCTTTTCTGGGAGAATAAGTTGAACTGAATGTTAGTGAGGGATCTTTGTGCATACAAAGGTATGGATTTTCATGGAAATATTTCCTCAATGTTCATAAAGGAATTGTATAAAATGTGTTTGCTTTCCTCCATCCCCTTAAAAGGAAAGAACTATGATTCTACTGTAACATGTAAAAAAGCCCCAGGCCTCCAAAAAAACCCCAAAGCTTCTATTTAAATTATGCCTCCATTTATTAAAATGCTTCTACTTTATTAAATTTTATGTCTCTTGTTGTTAAAGAGATGTTACAGTGAATAGGAACAGAAAGTTGGTGAGTGCAGAATGGATCTAGAGTTGCCTTGGAAACAGTAGGTACAACCAATCATTGAAGAGCGAGTGTTCATCCAGGAAGCCTTCAAATTGCCCCCAAAGGCCATCTGACTGTATAAGTGAACTGCATAACCCTAGCTGGTGCTCTGTGCCCACTGTGCAACCCCAAATCTTGGTAAGAGTAAAAGAAAACTTACCTTGAATATTTGGCTCTGCAGCCCAGAAGATAATAGAAGTCATCTAAACTACACAGTTTATTTTTGCAAATAGCAAGAGAGACAGTGGAAATATTGATAATAATAACTCTCATGTCTAAAGCTCTTCCCACATTTTCAACCTGCTTTATGTTCATTGGCTCACTTGATCCTGTGAGATGGACAGCCTTGCCCATACAATCTCCCAGTATCACAGAGGACAACACTAAATACAAGCAGATTTGTTCATGGTTGTGAAAATAATAAATGGGAGAGTGGATTCCTGAAATAGTTGTGAAACATTTCCTTTTCTGCTAAAGTACAGCCTAGGGATATCTTTGAGGAGGATAAAGGAATTAGGTATCAGTTTCTCTGATAAGCTTCTAGGAGCTCAGGTGCTTAATACTTTACCTGAGTCCCTCTCCTTTCCACCCTGTCCTCTATTTCTGCTCTCATATAGACCTCAAATGCTTTTCCTGCAGGACAATTTGACCATGAAGCCTTTGTGAATTTAGTCTATACCTACATACTTATCATATGTATCTTTCTCGAATTCCCTCAGCATTTAATCCTTAGAGCAACCCACGAGGTACATAACCATTTTTTTGAACGCTTTCATGTAGGAGAATCTTGTCTTTTCGCTGGATGATAGCTTTTGAAGACAAAAGCTATAAACTTAGGATATGAGCATCCCTTTCTCAAATTGCTGGCAGTGTTGGAGACAAATTATGTGTTTAGGTATATCAACGGATAGTAGGAAGGTTTGCGGCAGCGTCTTTACTAGCTGTGGTGATTGTTATTGTTTGCTTGTTTTTTTGGTGTGTGTAGAAATGTGATACTAAGTTTTATAGCATCATAACCCTTTTATGACCCCCCCTAAAGTCTCAGAAGCAAGTAAACAGATTGTTGACAGCATCAGAAACTCCTTTCAACTGCTACAAGTTTGTTGAATTTTTGTGCCAATCTAGCAAATCCAGGAGAATTTGGCTACCAAAACCTTAAGATGTGTTACTGAACTTAGCATGTCTTCCTACATAACAAGACCTGAGATGATGGAAGCCTGCATTCTACAAAGAGAGCTTCCATGTTCACCCTGAGGGTGTGTCTGCATTCAGAGAGACAGAGAGAGAAAAAAAAAAAAAAAAAAAAAAAAGTGAGGAGGGGCACATGATGGGAAATCCAGTCTGCGTGTGCAGGAAGAGCAATCTGTGAAGCCTCCCCTACTCCATCACCACTATAATTTATATTATGTAATAAATATTCAGTTTCACAGTGTTATCTGGGGAAACCAAGAATGGAAAAGAACAAACTTACGAATGCTTCCATTATCCCCCAATAGAGGTTTATCTTCAAGGTATCAATGCTGGTGTTGTGACTTCGAAATTCCTTTCAGCTCCAATGAAAGGGATCGCAAAACGTTCTTGGAGAGCATATTAACTATCACAAAAGCTTTGCCTAAAGACAAGCAGAAGGGGAGAGAGAGACTGCTTGGTCAGGTGGGTCTGTCATATTCCCAGTTTTCAGATGCAGGTGCCCAGTTCATCTTATCTCCATTTTGTTGGAATAGTCATTGCCCCTTTACAATCTCACACATTTAACTCTCCTCCCTGTTGGGGAGACAGGCAGGGGGATGGGTTATAAGAAGACCCTAGGATTTGTGATGGAAAGGAAGAAGGACTAGAGCCATGGGAAAGCAGAAAGCTCAGGCCCTGGTTCTCTGCGGGAGTTTCATGGGTCCCCTGTTAGGAAGGGACTTGTCAGATTACCATGAAATCACTGATGCAGGCAGCCCCTCTCCTCCCCTGAACCTCTTCCTTAGGTTGAACGGTTTCACTCCCCTCTGTGTCCACTGTGTAGGTTTTTTAAAAATTTTTTACATCTGCCATAAAAATGAGCTCCTCATAAAAACTTATTACTTCACTGGTTTCCCCTTTTTGTGACCTTTCTCCCAGGGATGCCCTCTGCGACCTTCTGCAGAATGTCATGTGTATAATTTTCTTTTATTAAGAGACCATAAAATGATAGACAAATAGTGCCCATCATTGTGGATTTATAACCATAAGCACAAGGAACTCGGTAAAACTTGTAATAAAATATCTGTATTTGGAGAAATGTAACAAATTCTTAATAGCAAAATAGGGATGAGAAAATTACATATATTATTCCTTTCACATTTCCAACATTGCTATGAAACAGATATTATTATCCCATTTTTTT